CCTCCGGCCGTTCCCAGGAGGGGCGAGGGACGGGGCTCTGGTTTCAGGGCGCCGTTTGCCGTGATCGGCGCCGGCGGGCGGAATCGCCTCCGCGGCCAGGGCTTGGCCGGAGGCGGGCTGCGGGCAGCCTGCGGTCTTGTGGGAGCGGGGCTGGGCAGCAGCAGCAGCAGCACCTGGAGAGCGGGTCCCCAGGCTTGGCAGGAGAGTGCCTGAATGCTTCTGCATCCGTGGGGGGAGAGGGGGGGCTGTGTGCTTGGCTTGTGGGAGATCGCCCCTGCGCTCGGGGAACCTTAACGGGTGAAGAAAAGCGTGTAGAGAAAGTAGCGAATAGGCACGGGATGGTGCGTTGTGTGATGCCTTTAGGAGGATATTTAAACCTGCAGGGGTTTCCCACCATGATCAGGTTAAAGATTCACATTTCGCTTTTTTAAATAATCATGCACTGCAGAATGAATTTTAAATTCTGCTGGCTCTGGTGCTGTGATGTGCTCCAATTCACCATTAGCATCAACTAACTGATCTAAAGGTCGCTCCTTGAAGCTAGGTACTTCAAGCTATCAGCTTCTACAATGACGGCAGCTTCCACAATGCTTCAGGCACGAAAGCCTCTTTCCATATTTATTGTATTTCCCAAAAGGTTGCTGGAATCCAACCTTTAGTCGCCTCTATAGGTGAGTAGGAAGTGAATGGCCGTCAGCTAAACAGCTATTGTCTTTAAGCACCACTGATTGCCACTTTCATTGATTATGGGAACAGAAGCATTACCAGAGCTGTTACATATGAACCGGGCAGGTTTTAGCAGCTGCAGGGGGAGAGCTGCACCTGCTGGGTTTTAGTTTGGCTCTTTTTTTTTTTTTTTTTCTGAAAAGACAAGACATTTTCATCTATCATTTGGATTAACGTTTAGAGACGTAGGGCAGTGACCCCGTTCATCCAGCATGTGACCCTGTCTTCAACAGATTGTACTGATTTTGAAACAGAATGCCAACACTGTTGGGAAAACAGTTATAATGTACTCTCCCCAATGGACTTAAGGATTCAAAGCACAAGCAAGTTAATAATTGACACATCATGGAGCGAGTTTGTCATTACTTACAGGTGAAGGCAAGCCCTACTTAGTTACAGGAGTTATCCCTTCATTTAAAAGGAGCGGAGGAGCTTGGCTCTGGAGTGATGCAGAATTTGTAAAGCTTGAGTGTGTTGTCTGATTTTTGTATTTTAAGCGTGCAGTGAATGTTGTGATTTCTCAGAGATGGTGTTTCAAGAAATGCCAGATGGAAGTTTCTTTTTTTTTTTTTTCCTAAGGCAGATGGGGCTGCATATTGTGACACTTTCATTGTGTAAGATGTAAGATGTAGTGAGGATGAGCCTGTTGTGCCCATATGTTAACGTGTGCTAAGTCTTTCCTTGCAGAAAGTTTGGCTACAGTGTAAAGAATGAAAATGCAGAGGAATAAAAAAAAGCGAGTGTCTGTAGAATTCCCCTTCTGTGGTGTATATAATGAAATACAGTGTCAATTTTTAGGCTAATTAATACTCTTCTTGATAAATCGTGTGTCTTCATCTAGTGCTCCTTCAGATTTTTAATTAATACATTTTAATTCTTAATAGACTGCCTTCCAAATGAAAAAAAAAAATAGATTATATAAGGAAGAGTGTGCTGGTTACTGTGTCTTCTTTATATTCTTATTTAACTCCTAAACAGAAGGATGAAGTCCTATTTGCCCTATTAATTCCTAGCTTGTAAGTTGCAAGTTAAAAAGCCATTTATCCTGCATAGATATAAATAACAGGGGGTTCTCCAGTTGCATGTGGCAGCCAACTCTTTTTTTTTTTTTTAAATACCTTGTATGATTGTATTAGAACACATTTTCAAATTGAAAACATGAACATAAATCATGTTTTCATGGATTTTTATGAAAACAAGTCATGGATATGTTTTGTTAAATAGCATATTCAAGCTTCTGTATGTACAAATGTATCACTAATGCCAAACAACAAGATCATATTCTACTGTGACAGCACTTGCACAAGCCTTCTGCTTTCAGACTCCCCAACAAAGCAAAAACGTTGCAAAAGACTGTTAATCTGTGTAATAGGAAGTGGTATTCATTAACAAGACAGCAAGAGTCACAAGATCCTGTCAAGTTATTTGCATGTACTGAGAGGAACTGAAATCACCTGGAGATGTCATCTGGGATTCAAGCTAGTTTCTGTTTTGTTATTAAGGGCATTCTTGATGTGATCACTCAAAGAGGTTTCACAAATGTTCTCTGCCCCTCTGGCTCCCCAGCTGTTGCTCTCTTCTCTCTTTAGCTTCCCACAGGAAAGCCTACACAGTCCCTAATGTCCCATTTGTTAAATTGTATGTGCTTAACCTCTTTCGTTCATGCATGAGGTCTGCTTAATTCAGGTGGGATAACCATTGTGTCCAAGGTGAACAGGATTCAGCTGTAAGGGCAAGACAGAATTTATAAACGCTTTTGGAAAATAGACCACATGTATGCTTAGCGTCAAAGTTTCTGACTTCAGTAGTAGGTAAGTCAGACCTCAAACGTGCAAGGAGTTTTAGTTATGCTGCACAGTGATTATTTAGGTTCACTTTAAAATGTGGTTTTGCCATCTCCATCTTTTAGAATGGGGATAACGGATGAACAGGAAGATCACAAATGTCACGAATTAGAAACAAACCCTCTCTTTTATTGAACTTTATACTGTTACACAATCAAAAAGAAATACAGTCACAAGTATGTCAAAATGTTTCAAGAGAAATATCAATTGCAATACGTTGTACTTGGTTCCAAAAAAGAATTCCATTAAAATATACCACTTCTTCATGAGAGAATACTGCTATTATTCACAAAATCTACCATACTGTATAAATCGAGTTGCAAACTCTAACTTTTTTGGTAACTTGGCAAGCCTTGCTCAAGGTAAACAGGGAAGCAGAAGGAAAATGACAACTCATTTCTAGAATTTGGATCAAAAATCACAGTTCTCCAGAACAGAGCTTTCCAGGGAGTCAAGTGCCTAATTGCTAATGGCGTTTTTAATGAAAGCTGGATACCCAACTGACACAAATTCCTATGGAAATGATCTTCCTACAAAGTACTCCTGGCCTGTGAAACGTTTATTTTCGTGCTGGACAATTACAGTTTGAATAATGTGCGTAAGTGCAGTGGCATTTGAGTGAGATGCCTGTTCTGTTCAGTAGCAGCTAATCAGCGGGGACGGGAACAGATGGTTGACCTCGGGCATGTCCAGCTATAGCCTGGTTCACCGTGGTCGGGTACTCACGACTGCCACAGCACTGTTCAAAGGAAAGGGTTCATTCAGCACTGCACCGGCACAGAAAGCTTGCCAACAGATACTGGTGAAACAGCCCACATTTCTGCCTTTAGCTACCATTGTTTAGCTGTTAATTAAACAGTTTTTTAAATAATTACTATTAAATATGCAGTAGTTTAACCTATAATCATCAGACTTTTTTTGATTCCTACAGTTGTATTTCATTGGAAGCAGAGCTGATCAATCCATCCAAAATAAGCTTGGAAGTCTTTAAATCATCACCAGTGTTATGTGTAAAGTTTTCATTGCCCTTTCTGGCCTAAATATGCCATTTTTAATTCAGTAATTAGGGAGAGTTTAATGTGTGTACACAGACACACAGGAAAGGAAACTTAATAGCAAATTGTTTCCATTTCACCCGAAGGTTTTCAAAGATCAACATAAAGTCCAAACCTATCTCACTACATGGGAGGGAAGGTATCTTAGAAAGGTGTACTTTGGACTCCAGGCTACCTTAATTTACTACTCAGTGTATTACACTTGAGATCAAGTTACTGGACAGCAGACTTAAGTGACTTCTTGGGAGCTACAGCTGTAGTTAATTATAACTACTTTCAGGTAAAGGAATGAAGGGTGTCATCATAAATACTAGTTTAAAAATTCCTTTACCTTTTAACAAAACCATCACTGTTGTTGATAAAAACATCAATCAGAATCCATATGTAAAAATAATAATTGTGCTATGCCGTGAAGAAGGCATGGCTTGACTACTGCTGTAGTCACGATAACCTTCTGGAAGCTAACTTCGTTATTCTCCTCAGTTTACCATTTCCACATGATCTAGCTTGCTTCATATGCAGAAGGAAACGCTGTATCTACCTACAGTTTCTTCTTTACTACTAGTGAAGAATAAATGCTCTAATAGAGTGCCTCAACATTTTAAAAGGTAGCAAGTCAGCAAAGAAATTATTCAGAATCACTAAGAAAACATTTAGAAATTAATGTATTCTAGAAGCTTGTCCTCCAAAGTAGGTTTAGAATCAGGCTGCATATTCCTAGAGTCTAAGCAAAAAAAAAAAGTAAAAAAAAACCAAAAAAAGCAGCTAAGAGGTATACTTCTAGATTTTGCGAACTTGCATCTGCATTTAGCAAAGCTCTTACAAGGCCAGAGCAATTACTGTTACTTTTCCATGCTTTCTTCAGTGTCTCTAGAAGGTTTGGGTTTTTTTTTAATTTTTGGGGTCGTTCCCCCCCCCCCGAGTAAACCAATCCAATACAGCTACTGCAGTTCATTCCATTAATTGCTTGTTTCCATCACTTTTAACAGGACAGTAAACAAAATGCTGTGCCTTGTTATTATGTATAATAAAAAAGTGATAGTTGGGAAGACGCTTAGATGAAACATGGCTCATTTAAATCCACAGCTGCTATCATTAAGACCAGAGATGATTCCAGCAGGCTCATAAATCATGTGGGTCACTGAAGTTTTCCTCCTCTTTTTAACATGGATTTTTCTCTGAATGAAAATTCACTGCCCTCTTAAAGCACACCAAAGAGGAACTGACAGATCCAAACAGGTCAGGCTCCTCCAAAATAAGGTCAAGAGTGCGGCAGAACACCATCAAGCAGGAAGGTATGAAGTTTCTCTTGGGAGGTGAAAAGGGATAACCCACCAGGCCAGCTCAAAGCTTGCCGGGGCAGGAGGAAAGGCAGAACCCACTTGTACCTTTCACACGTCTACAAGACTCTCCTCGCTCTCACAGAAGCATCACGTCAATCCATGCAGAGCTAAGCATGAGAGATGACCCCACCAGCTGGTGCTTCACCTAAGCCTTTAGCAACTTCACTATTAAACCTTTTAACTGCTGACGGAGAGAGAGGGAGGCCATGGAAAGAATGCTATCCAAGAAACCTCACACAGCAGGTATGCAGTAGCTC